TAACCAGTGATTTCCGCTATGTCTTCTACACCTCCAGCTTCTTCCTGATCTCCTCTGCATTATTCATGGGGCTCAGCTTCTGTGCTCTGGATAAAAAAACAAAACTGAGAGAGGCTTCCAAAGGACCTTTGAGTAATCCCTCCAGATACCCTTACAGCGAAACACCAAGCGATCCACAGGCTGAAAGCCAACCCCCTCCAGCAGTCGTGTACGTCACCAGCATATGAAAATAGAGTAAAGAAGGGAAGAAAAGAGCAACGCAATGATGTGGTCTGGACAAAGCTACCCATGGCCCAGCACTGATGGCAGATGGGAAAAAAAAATCATCTGCTTTCCACTGCTGTCATCTTCCTTCTGCACTTCTACTCCCAGGGGCCGTGTCAGGCTCCAAGAGAAGGATCCAGACCATGGGATGAACCCCGAACCCAGCACCAGCCAAGGAGATGAAGGACAGAGAGATCTGTGCTCTCCTAAAGCAAACCATGGGACAACAGCCACGGAAGGAGACAAAAAGCTGTGTCAGTTCAGCTGGGTTAAGTCACTGCCTGTAAGAAATTTAAGGAATTTCACATGCCTGTTTCAGTTGGAAGTGCTGGACAATATGGATTAATGGCTATGCACAAGGGTAGTCCTTTCACTTGTAATTTTGGTGCACAAGTATCCTGGTTGCTTCCCATGCTGCAGGTGGCAAGACAAACACTTTCTACAGGAGGAGTGGGATTATTCCCCACATTTCTAAATATTATCTGAAAGCAGCTGCGCGGGTTGCAGAACTCAGACAAGTCTCTAGTAAGATCAATTATTTTCTCCTACAAGGTATATACACGAGTTCTTCATGCCAAAGGCAGTTTCAAAGCCTGAAAGGTTCAATTCCAGAGCATCAAAAAGAAAAAAGAAAAAACACCAAAACTTGGAGTGCCTGCTTTGTATAACTAGTGATATCTCAAGTGCTGCTTGATATATCATAAAAGAGGATTCATGGCTTGTGTAAACACACTTCAGCATTGCCTGGAACCCATCTGGGGGGGGAGAGCAAAGGTGCTACCATACCTAAGAATAAGTGTTTGCCTCCTTGTACAGGGTCAAATTCAAAGCAACTGTGGATATGAATTCAACTCTTTAGTCTTAGATTGTCAGACTTAATTGCACCAGCATGCTCATTATAGAGAACTTTGTACAAGCGTAACTTATATTTCCTGTAAGCACAAGCAAAACTTACAAAGAAATCTGTGGGGGAAGGTATACTGAGGAAAGCCAGTGTTGCTAACTTTCTTTTCCTTACAGCCTTGACTGCAAGTGGCTTTTCCTGCTCCATTCCCAGGAGTTTGGCTTCTCACTGCTCAGGTGGTGGCTGCATCAGCCTCAGCATCAGCTGGAGGTGCAAACTGTTCATAATCTGTATAGTTCCTGATCCAACAGATGCAGGTAAGAGCTCACGGAACACAGCAAGTGAAAATTACTCAACACGTTAAGAGCCATCAGAAAGATGGGAGCATAAAATGGGAGTGAAACGGAAGAAGGAACAGCTGTCAACTGAAGTACAGTGCTTACCCTGAGACCTGTGATATCAAACTCAACTGCAGTGCCCTCTCTAAGAGCTGCCATGACTGATTCCTACCGACAAACCCACAGTTTTCATTACAGCTCCCCAGATCAAACAAGCCAACCAACCAAAAATCTGAGTGAAACCACTGGAAAACTGACCCCAAGATCTTCAGAGGCTACAGTGGCTTCACAGCCGGCCTTACATGGAGGAGGTATCAGCCCTTCAGAAGGATTCCTGCTTCTACAGCTCAGTATCTCCGCTCTAGGATTATGGAGCCAGTAGACTTTGCATTTCTTGATCAAACCCATACTTAAATAAGATAATTAGTAGGAGATATCCATATCTCATCTCTCATCAAGTGTGTTTATTAACTTATGTAATGCTTACGTGGTCCATAACTACGAAGTAAACAGGGACTGGCGCTTCTCAGCTTGCCAAAACAGACTGTTGTACATTCCTAGGAAAATGATGGGGCTTTCTCCCTGCCAAAAAACAATGAAGAAGGATCAAGTCCCAAATCTCTTCTAGCTATTGCAAATAAAGAGCTAAGCAGCTGAACAGATTGACATCTTTTCTGTGTGTAATTCTTAAATTGTAAATTCTCTTCACCTTTCTACATTCCCTTTCTGTTTTCTTACAGAAATATGGGGTTATATGGACCCAAATCCTCCCCCCACCACAAACGTCCTATGCAAAATAGGTAAGATATGGTGAAAGCTACGACCCATCAAAATTTAGCACAGGAAAACAAAGGTTAGTTGAAGGAGCAAGGGAATGCAGCTCCTGCTTGGAGCAACTGCTCTACCTGCAATTCTTTATCTCTGGATGGCTCATGAGAAAGGACATGTACAGTCTGTGCTTCCTTGAAAGGGAGGACAAAATAACAGGTACTCCCAAAGTGAAGCTGACACAGAGATCAGCTCCTCCTACCCCCACACCAAAGAAAACTGGTTTGACTATTTCTTAGCTGTGCACAGAAATGCAAGGATGGAAAGTCAGGGGAGTGCTTGCTAGAAATGCTTTTTGATACTCCCAGACTCATCACTGGGGTCACTGGGGCTTATTCGCAGAGCCAGAGAGGTGTTTCTGGTAAGAAGAGCAATAAATTCGTAAATCCATCATTTTAACGTTTCTCAGCTTGTTGACTACAACCTTTCTAACAGCCCTACAGAACTTAAGCTACCTGAAAACAGGGTTGTCACCCCTGGTTACCTTCCACAGACCTTTTAGAAGTAATCTACAACCCCCAGGTTGGAACCAAATCCTGCACAGAGAAGAGGTAGCTCTTTAGGCTGTGTTTCCACAGGTGAATTAAGATGTCTGAGCTGCCATAGCAGAGAAAACAAAAGTGCGAGGTGCATCTTTCCTTGCTGAAATGAAACATTCACCAGGAAGTTCACACTGAAATACTGCCAGATGGCAATCCTTAAAAGCCTTAAATACTCTGCCAATGTAATATGTGGAAAATATTAATATTTGCATTTAATGTGGATATTATTTATTTATATTTAATATCAATAAACCCCAAATAAAAGTCACAGTAAACTTACACACTTTAAAAAAACCTCAGAATTGCAGAATCACTTGACTTAAGATCTTGGCTTGCTGTTTGCAGACCTGGCTCGTAGCGGTAAGAAAATAAAAAACTAATAGAAATGAAAATTCCCTGAATTCTGCCTTTGGTGTGCTATCTACCCAGGCTATACTAGTCCACACTGTGCAAACTACTCCAGCAAACAGCAAGTGCTTGGAGCATTCAGACCATTAAATTATACAGCCAATACTGGGTGAGTAAATGCAGTACTTATAAAGAGAAGTAATAGGATTTTTGCTCTTTACACACAGTTCCCCCTCCATTAGTCAATCCCAGTATTGCTCTGTTTGTGTTGACTGACTCCCCTGTGTTTGCTTTCTCTGCTCCTGCTTTCTCACATTACTCATTCACTTTCTACTTAATGACAGATGTGGCTTTAAAGTATGTCAACACTTACCACTTACAAAGGCACACATTAGAAGAGATTTGTTACTAGAGCAGCAAAACATTCTAACATAGACATAGTCCGTAGCACCTTTGCTGATAATTTTCATACATATATATATATACACAAATATATATATGTATATATACACATAAATAGGTACTGACTTCAGAGGATAATTATGCTAAAAGCTGAAGTTGCCAGCACAGGCCTGGTTTAACCTTTTGTATCAGGTACAAATAAATAATTTCACTTTCCCTGTCTTCCCATGCTGTTACTACGTTAAAATATTTAGCATAGCTGCATTCAGTGCAGCTTCTTTGCCCATCCTTCTACAGAATGTGGTCACGGGCAGGTATTTTGTGCCCCCAGCTGTGTGGTAGGAGAGGTTTCTCAGCCCAGCACTCTTGTCACTGGTGCCATGAGTTTGGTGGGTCGGCGCACGTTCGGTTTGCTGTATGTGAAAATCAATTGCTCTTGAGATAACAAAAAAAGACAACACGTACTGTACTCACAGCCTGTTCCCTCCTTATCCACAGAAGAACCTCTGTGCATATAATTGCTTCAATAAAAGCAATGCAAATTTCTGAAAGTCCAACTCCCTGCACCCCCCCCCCCAAGTTTATGATGTTTATGAACTCTTACCATATATATTTACATGAATCACATCTGAACCCAGTTGCAACAGGTAAAATCCCGGTGGTTCCACTGAACTGTGTTAGTTCAGAACCAGAGAATTGCTCTGCTCTGTGGCCCTTGTAAACCAGGGTGGAATCACCTGCATCGGTGTTAATTCACTCCCTGGCTTTGCTTCTTTTTTTTTTTTTTTTCCAGGTAGTTTATCTCACTGGGCGTGTATTGCACCCTGGTTTTACCTTTCCCCCTCAGCTTCTAATCCTTTTGTCTTTTACAAAAGGAAAAAATAAAAAATCCGTTTTCTTTGTCCTTCTTTAGTCTTGGAGATGCAATCCCATATTTAAACTGGAACGTGCAGCACCCCCACAGCTTACAGGAAGGAGAGTAGGAATGGGATTGAGCAGGAAAACATATAAACATATGAAAAGTCTTTGAGTGATTAACTGGGGAGTGAGGAAGGGTCAGCTCCTTTCCAGAGCAAAGCTTTGCCGTATAACGAAACACAGTGAAACACCACGACACAGGATCATTCATTTTTATATATTTATGTATACATATATATTTGTATACATTATATAGTTTATATGTTATTAATTTATGTCTAGGGGAGGAGGAACCGCGCCCCCCCCACACCTGAGGGGAGCGGACCTGCCCCGCCCGCCCACAAAATGGCGGCCGCCCCGCCCCTCCTGCGGGAGAGGCTCCCGCCGTGCCACGCCCACAAGATGGCGGGCAGCGGAGCTTCCTGGCCGCCCTGGGGCTGCCGGTTTGTCCCCATCCCACGGGACACCCGGCCCCTGAACTGCCCGTGATCGGCACTGCCCGGAGTTCCAGGGGAACGGGGAGCCCATCGAGGTGTCCCACAGGCGGGCCCGCGATGGAGCTGGGGCGGCTGGAGTACCTGCAGGCGCTCGTCACCGAGTTCCAGGTGACGGACAGCCCAGGTAACAAACACCGCTGCTCGCTCGCTCCCCTCACGTTGAGTGTTTCCTCACACAACTGACGCTTCTCCATTGCAGAGGCCAAGGAGCAGGTGCTGGCGAACCTGGCCAACTTCGCCTACGATCCCAAAAACTACGAGTACCTGCGGCAGCTCCAGGTGCTGGATCTGTTCCTGGATATGCTCACCGAGGACAACGAGACCCTGGTGGAGTTTGCCATTGGTAAGGGCTGCCCCGAACACCCTCAGCTGGCACCTGCCTGGCGGGTCAGGGGGCACCAGGCCACACACCTGGTTTGGTGGTTAATCCCCCCGAAAAAATAAATATGCTGATAAAGCCTCGTTTAGTGCAGAATGTGTGGAATAGGGACAGAAATCAGAGGCAGGTATGTCCCCTCCCTTTCCTGATAGAGCTTAATGAAGACACTTTCTGAAAGGAGTTTGGGGTTTTTCCCCCCAGACTGTAAGTAAACACTACCTGATTGACTTTTTACTGAAATCTCTCCTATAGAGAAGCAATAATTAATACATAAATTTTGCCAGGTATATTGTACAGGTCCAGCATTACCGTTCTACTATTGACAGCTGGTCTTCTAGAATACTTACTTCACCTTTTTTAATAAATTCTCTGAGAAACTGCCTTATTGTGATTTTTTTATGGTCTGAACATAAGCTAAGGGGCCAGATCCTGTGAGGGATTCTATGAGATGATAATAAATATACTTGAATTTTAAGGTTTGTGGCTTTGCTCAGAGTTTCAAGTCCAAACATTCTGTGCCTCTTGCCCAACACTGTTATGTCCGTTCTCTGGTTTTCTGAAACACATGCAGTAAACTGCTGGCTTGTATCCTGTTAGGGATAAGCGATCCTGGAATCATTCTGTGGAAGCAGTTATGTGCAGCAGTAACAGTGCCCTCTAATGACACACAAGAGGAGGAATGTGCTGGTGGAAGATCTCTGGAAAGCATCAACAAAACACGGCCTAGGGAGCCGTTAAGAGTTTTCCATCCAAACCTCACAGAAAATCTGGATACTTATTTCTGTTAGGACAAGCTTGAATTTGAATCTTACTGTGACAAAGGCCAGGGTGGGGAGAGCTTGCCTCGTCAGACCCTTCATTCTGCCGTTTCAGGTGGTCTTTGTAACCTGTGCCTGGATAAAACTAACAAAGAGTACATCCTGGAGGCCAACGGGGTGGAACCCATCATCAACTGCCTGTCCAGCCCCAACGAGGAGACCGTGGTGTCGGCTGTCACCACGCTGATGTTCCTCACCACGCCGCAGTCCCGGCACCAGACCACGGCCCTGCCCGTGGTGGAGTGCATGCTCCGCTTCTCCCTCTCGGCCAACAGACGGCTCAGCAACCTGGCAACCCTCTTCCTGGAGGATTACTGCTCCCCCCCGCAGGTGGAGGAGGCCAGGAACCTCAGCAAACACACGGCGGTGGGGATCCCCCTCCCCAAGGACTGAAGCTGTTTGAGAGGGAAACCGCCCTCTGTTCTCACGTTCTGCTCAGCGGGTCAGGAGCGTGTCAAACACATTAAAGAGGGAAGCTGGTCCCACCAGCACTGGGGTTTAGTTAACAAAGGTGATGGTGCAGCACTGCCATGGCAGCTGGGCCGAGCACGCAGCTAAAACTGCCAGCAAATATTTAAAATAAAGCAGGTCATGGCTGTTGGAGAGCAGTTTGCCAAGTGCAGCCCAGCACTCAGCTTGCACAAATAACCCTTCCCAGCAGCAGGGGGTTTTCTGCTTGGGTTATTGAGCAGCTTATATCCCCTCCAGTTCCTGGCTGATTTTGCTGCAGCTCTCCCCTTCAGTGTCAATGACAACTGACACGGAGTGTCATCTCAAATGACTTCAAAATGCCACAGAAATTTATTCCTCCTGCAGAGAAAGAAGGTGTTTTCCTGCCCTGGCAGTTCACCATCTTTCTCCATCCCTGTGGAACTAGTTATGCCACCCTCTCATCGTGGCATAGGCACCTGAGTCACTGCACAGGGCAAGCTGTAACTATTCTTTAAATCAAAAAGTGGAAAGTTGTTTTTCTTTCATTACCATTGGTGAGGAAGGTGAAGATTTTAAAAAAAAAAAAGGCTCACAGCAGTCTGGCTCATGAGAGATGCTGTCTTGTAAAACCTTCTCTTAATAAAACATTAACTTGAATGCTGTGTAATCAGTTCTGTATGAGCTCATAAATATTTCTCTGCAGCATTTGCAGCCTTTGCCCACTCTTACTCAAGCACATGGGCCAGAAATCGAGGCCAGCTTGGTCTCCTTTCATGATCAGCCAATGAGGCAAGAGAAAACCCAAAAGCCAGGGTGGCTAAATACATAAAATTTAGAAGGTTTGGCTGTTGAGCCCAGTGCCCCCTGACAGACACCCACGCTGTGTCTGCTCAAGTTTCAAGAGCTTTCCTTCTTCCTCTTTTTTTCCTCCTCTCCACCCACAGACAGCGCAAACCAAACAGGAGTGAGGTTAAACACACACACAAAAATCCAACCAACCCACAGCTGCTTGTGTTTTACAGTTTCTCTTCTCCAACAGCAAACACCCAAATGCTACAGAGGTGAACTGAGTGCAGAGGAATCTTCCAGAAACCCGGGGACAGCCAGCTCTGTACCAAGTCTGACAGGGGCAGCTCACTAGTCGTTATAACTGACCCCGAGGTGATGGTGCTCCCTGGCTCCTGGGAATGGGTTTCCCTGGCACTGGGAAGGGCACAGCATCCCCTTCCTGCCCTACTGCCTGCGCTTGCTTTCCAGGATGGCCTTCCAGTTGTCCGCCCAGGAGAGCAGGCGCCGGCGCGGGGCCGGCAGCTGGACGTGCCTGTTGTGGCAGCAGGTGAACAGGATGTGCTCCCAGCTCGGGTTCGGTTCTGCGCCTGGGGAGGGAAAAGGGGAAAACTGGAGTCAGCTGGGGGTGACTCCCCGACCAACAGCCGACGAT